CAATCACAGCGCAGTTGAGTTAGAAGTGAACAAGGGTGATAAAACTTCTCATTGCAAACACTGATGGCTAGATGAGGATCATGTTGAGGTTCCAACCCAAGATGCATTTGAAGGGGCAATAGGCAGGTTGATGAATCCAAAGGCAGGGAAAAGGCTTGGTGGTAGAAGACCTGGAGGAGCTCAGTGAACAAATGACTCACAAGATCATAAAAATAGTTTACTAATGCTTTTGGTGGGTGTAAATAGTTAATGAATGAATGAATAAATTACTAATTTATTTTTATGTGTTTAGCACTAAATCTAAAGCACTAACTTGCCTAACTCCTTTCTTTAACACAACACTAATGTCCCACATGCCTAGAATTCAAATCTTGGGCTTGTTGTTGAAGCACTTAGATCTTTTACTTGTTTGCTTTCAATAAAATTATTTTAATTAAAATCATATTAACAGAAGCATCATTCTAATGGTAAGCACGTTACACTTTGAGTCACTTAAAATTGCTCATATGTTAAAAATATGAAACACAAACTCTTTTTCAAGTTCATATATAGATCATAAAGAAATACATATTATTTTATAGTGCCAAGCATTTCCAATGGTTAAAACTATGAAAAAATTTAAGGCAAGTAATGTATAAAGCCATATTATCATTAAAAAGAAAAAAAGCAGAGAAGACTCCTGAAACTAATTGATATATTTTGCTCTTGTTTCTTTTAAGTATTTTCTCTTTAATAAAAATCAATATTTATTAAGTTAACTAAGGTATAAATTATTAATTATCAAGGTAAATCATCTCATGAATTAATTATCACTCAACTCATCAATTAAGAAATCCTTGATTCAAAACAGCCAATCACATTTTCCCCACTACAAAAGGGCTCATAAAATTTATAATTCTTTAGCTCTAACTTATTCTAGTTTTCATAGATAAAAGTTGTAAATGGAAACAATTTTATTTTTGAAACTATTATATCTTCCACAATAATTACTTTCCACTAGTATTGCTTTTGAAATTGAAACTACTATTTCTTTAAAGCTAGGTGTAAAAAAAAAAGCAAAACTCAATTATATATTGACATTATTTAATATACAAACTTTATTTAGATTTTATTCAAACCAAAAATTGTTATTGTGAATTCAAGTGTATGGTTACAGTGTTATATATTAGTATTAATATAATGGGATTTTGATAACCATCAAATTAATTTCAATCCAAACCACTTGCTCCTGTATTTAAGCTATGTTTTTTAGGTTAATTATATATGCATATTTTTGTTTTCCATACACTCACATTAGTGGATTAGTGAGATGAGGGGCAACTCTAATTATCTTTAAAGTGTGTTTAAATTTATACTTTTTATTTAGGTCTAACTTTTACATTGTCGTTTTTCTTATTCCTATAGCTTTTTCATTTCTTCTCTTTTTTTTTCATTTTCTTTTTGTTCATCTTTTGGCAAAATAACATAGCAATTGATGCAATTTCAATTCATAATGGTGTTCATAGTGTGTGGTGCAACTCTTTTTTCTTTTGTTGCCAATCCTTGTGTCTAATCAAATTTCCTCTATGGGAATTTTAGGGATGATGTGTATTATTTATAGTACTTGTTACCTATTATTTTTGGGATGATATCTAACATTTACACAAGTTCTTTATATATTTCCAAGGGATGGTGTTTCAATAGTACAATTATTTGAGTGTAACCACTCTTGCAAATTGAAGCCATTTCCTAAACATCATCAAGTGCACATTTGGATATGCTAACAACTATGACAATATCTTTTAATAATTGCATAATTTTCATCATAGGCTATATAAGTCAATTATGTAATTTAGTATTTATTAATTATTAGGGTTTAGGCCATACAAGAATGGATGGACCAAATTAAGTCTCAAATAAATAATTTATAATACTCACTTCTAGAGTCTTTTACTCTACACAAGGCCAAAAAATGTCAAAGTAGATCAAATTATATATGTTATGGCTAACACTTCATCATTGTGCAAGGATTATGCATATGATCCTTGCATGCATATCAAGGACTTATGCATGCACTTGCCCTATCCATCCTTGATGATGCTCTTCAACTTGCATAATAATATGAAATATTGCCTCTCCCATTTATGATTGCATATGTTTTAACTCCACTTCTTGTAAAAGATGATTCTATTTTGATGGAGGTTAACAGTGTTACTACTTGTGTTCAAGATAATCCTATTCGAATAGAGGTTGCTGCTATTTGTAATTATACAGTATTGCAAATGTTGTTAATGTTGTTCATATTATTTATCATTTTATCTAAGGACTATGAGTAGGCATTTGTGGATCTTAAAAAGGAGTTGCTAACTCTTCCAATTTTAACATATCCAAAATATACTCATCTTGTACGTGGATACTTTCATTATTAGTCTTGGAGGTGTATTGATACAAAAAAGCATGAGTGTGTTTAGTTAGTTTTATCCTATCTTATGCATGGATGCTTCTAATATGGATTTTAGAGGCGTGTTGATGCAAGAAAAACATGAGTGCGTATAGTTAGTATCATCCTATTGTATACATCAATTGTACATCACAATTAGCAAATATGAGTTACTCTATGACAAAAGAGTATTTAGCAATAGTTTGGGGTTTTGAAAAGTGTCATATGTACTTGCATGATTCTCAGATGTTATTAGAGGTTGATCATATTGTAATCACTTCATTATTAAAGTACTCATAAATGCCTAATACATATGATTGCAATTTTAGAAGCCACCAGTTATCCACCAATACTATAATCCCACGATAAATACCTTCATTCGTAAATGGCCTACAAGACAAAGAACATACTCATAAATGCCTAATATATATGATTTTAATTTTACAAATAGAAATATACCTTACTTAAGAGTATAGTATATTTTAAGTAGCCATTAATCAATAGGAATCATTTTCTTTAATACCAGATATAACACACTCTATCTCTTTCTCTTTAAGTCAACTGAAAAAGGGGCAATTGCTTAATAAAAGAGCTCTTAATGCTTATATTATCCCTATTTATCCTTTAAAATTTCAAAAATCCACAATGATAATATATTCAAATCTCATCCCATGATTATGTATGTTACAACTATACCTTAGGTTGGTTAGTTATGCTTGACTTACCCACTATCTCTATTATATATTTGAAACCCCTAATGGTTGATTATTGGTAATAAATATATTATTACTGCTTCTAATTACTTGATTTATTTGGTGGAAGTTGATGTTTTTACTAGTGCATTTGAAACTTCTCTTGGATATTTCTTCCTAAATCAAGTAATATTTCAATGTTCTTGTTTAGAATTGATTCTTTTGGATATTTATCCCATATTTATGGCTAAGGCATTTCACATTTTGATGTTTTAGCTAGAGATACACCACACTTTCTCAAGTGTTTATCATCTACGAATAGATGGTTTGATAGAATGGTTTATTTAGACTTTCAAAAGGATAATCATGAATTTTAGCATTTGGACTAGGACGGTTATTTGTCATCTCTTCCATATGCATATATTACATGGGTATAGAGTTTTGTTAGTGTTTCATTATATAAACTTTTATATAATCAAGATTTAATATAGCCAACAAAGTTGAGTTTACTTTTACAATTGCCATAAACTACTAATGCTAAGTCATGGGATAAACATTTAAAGAGTATTCTTCCATTTTTTAAGTGGAGTTTATAGAATACTTAGGTCATATATAAGTGGGACAATAGTAGTATTACAACCCCTATCATTATCCACTTATAGAGTATAAAATGGATGATCTAGTGTTAGTTAATTTTCCCAATTTTAATGTATGTGGTAGTGGAAGAGATAGTATTGAATGTTTCAGCAAGTTAGACCATAAATTTATAAGGTTCAGCATAACATTCAGCATGCCAATCCTCTATAAAATATATATGTACAACAACTAAATCATTTCATACAAAAGGATTAAAAATAAAATCCCTTAATAAATCCACTAGTTTATAAATTCTAAAACTATAGTATGTCAAACCTTTCAAGAATGTATTCTAGAGAAGAACCAAATCTTTCTTTTATATGAGGTCCAATTGTACAACTATAATGTCATATATATTTTGATAGCCATAGGATTTATTTCAATTTGAACTAGGATTTTTGGGTTAATTGTGAGTAACTTAATATTTATAGTTAAAACATCCTTTTAGGAAATAAAGTGTAATTTATTTTAAGCTACATCACTTACCAGCACCAAGTTATACCTCTACCACTGGCACTGTAGCACATGAATTTTTCTTAGTCACAAGCCGAAATAAACCTTGATATTTAAGTGTTTTAAGCTTCTTAACAACTTCTCTTCCATAGAGAAAAGAGTTGAACTCTTTCAAAAGCTCTCTAAAAGAGTTTTAGAGCATCATCTTAAGAGCATCCTTGATAGTCTTCAAGTCCAACATTTGAAAAGGTTGTAAGGACATGATGTGGTGGTAGGAAAGTAAGTGGGGACTCTCTACATCACTATTGTTGTTGTTATCAATGCTGTTGGGAAGGTAGCTCTTGCTTCCTAGCTAGATAAGCTTTGGCTAGGACCAAGTCTATCCTCTAAGATGCTAGTGTCATCAACAACACAAGTGGAAGCTTCAGCCCTCTTGTTGCTGGCTGGTACCATGTGATGGTGATGACATAGCACTACACAGGGGAACTTGAGTGGGCTGGCACAACTGTTGCTACTGTAGCAAAGAGCCAATAGGAAACTTGGGAAATAAGTGGGTAAGAGGCCACACCTTGAGTTTCCCAGTAAACTTCCACACCCAACCATAGTGGAGACATTTTCAGAAGAAAATATGATGGCAAAGATGGAGGTGAAACTTAAAATAGTGGTGGTGGAGTTAGAAAAGTTGGCGGTGGAACCACTAGGCACTATTACTATGGAGCAAAGGCAAGTGAAGACTATTGCTGCTGTAGAGCAGTAGCAGATAGAAATGATGAGGATGGAGGTGGAGCCACTTGAGTTGGCTACATAGGGGCAACACCAATGTTTGCAGCCTCCAACAAAGCAAGTTCCTCCAACTCTGATCCACCAAGATCACCAATATCACCATTGTCACCATCATAGTCATTGCTGTTATGTAAGCTGGAACAAAAGTTAGCAATAATCAACTTTTTAGTTGTTATAAACATCCAGTGACAACTTTCATTTTATGATATCATATGTTTAACATACTAAGGGTAATTATAGGTGCAAAGTTGATTTAAACCTTAAAAATCCATATAAAGTAGGAAATCTTTCTTCATCTCATAATTTGGCATCTTTGCCTAATGACAACCTTCATTATATCCATCATCACTTACACTATATTTCTCATAAATAAACAAAGAGCAAACCTTAGACCAGCTTCTCAACCTTAAGGCATTCCAACATTAAATCCCCATGCCATATTCATGTTAAAATATTTTAAGAATATTTTAAAATATTCTTGTGATTCATGTTACTTGTCGTGATGGTAATGTTGTTTGGTTGGAGAGCCTAGGCTTGAAAACATGAAAAAGACTAACTCTATAGAACAAGAGCAAACAACAAGAACTGCTAGAAATCTATTCAAAGACTTAGTGTTTATTGAGGTGAGACAGAAAGTATCACTCCCTCGAAAATATTGCTTAGGCAACAAATCTTTTATTTCCCACTCTCTCTCTCTACATGATCACTTGGCTAATCAATTTAATCTCCCCATAGCAGATACGAGGAATATTCCAGGGGATCAGAGGATCTCTGACTTCGTTATGTAAGATCTAGGATAGTGGTCAGATTTTTATTCCAATTCTTGCCACAGCCAAGGTTTTGTCACGAATTTGCTGGCCTATTTTAACCCTTACGGTTGATGCACCGATTGCACCAAAAGAAATTGGGAAGGCCCTGGATTGCGCTGGAAGACGCACCCCAGCGGCAAAGATACAACTGTGGAATAACTTATTCGAGCAGCAGAACTAAGAGACAGGAGGATCAGTCTTGGTTGGCAGCAGACAAATTTGCCTTCCGAATAGAACGTTTAAACTCTTAACATATTATACCTACTCTTTAAACTTGTAACTGCGAGACGAGGCCAGGAAAAACAGCCAGTTCGCGACGCCCAGCGCGACGAGCAGCCAAAAGAAGTAATCCAAATGCCCATCGTTGAGATCTCGCGGGATCCATCCCCGCTCTCCAGTGATGCTCGACGTGATGCTCACGAGAAATCCGGAAAGAAAACTCCCCACCGACGCTGAGAAGAACGCCATGGCCGCGCTCAGAGTTCTCAAGTTCTCGGGAGCTTGGTCATAGAGAAACTCGATCAATCCCACGTAATAGAAAACCTTGGAGCCGCCGACAAGCGCGAACTGGGGGATTTGCCACAAAACGTTGATCTGACCTCGTTCGTCGTGGAAATTCGCGAGACGTCTTGCTTCCAGCACAGCCGCGCACGCCATAGCCCCTGTCATCACCACAAGCCCTGCTCCCATCCTCTGGAAGAACGTAAAACCCCGCGAGTTTCCCGTCCCTCGACGCATCACCGGGACCAAGACGCGATCATAGACGACCGTCCACACCAGAACGCTGATGGGATCGAAACAGTTGAGCGATGCCGGGGGGACGCGAAAGCTGCCAACTTTTGTGTTCATGAGCGCGGCCTGCTCAACGAAGAGCGAGAAAGTCTGTGCTCGCATTGCCTCGTACATCACCGATCCGAGCCACACCAAGAAAATTCCCGCGAAGTTGGAATGATCAGAGAGCCCCGCGAATGGGTTTCCTGTCAAGTTGGAAGCATATCGGTAGAACTTGGTGGCGCTCGAAAAAATCATGATCCCGAAAAGAATCGCCCCCGTGCAAACGAAGAGAGCGCTGCTAAAACCCAGCCGGTCTTCGATATACACCACACCCACCACTGCGAGGAGAAGACCCATGGATGAGCTAAAGTAGTACCAGTTGAAGTACGAGCTCTTCCTCGCGGCCTCGACCGGATCTTTGCCATCAAATTGGTCGGCTCCAAATGCCAGTAGCGACGCCACAAATCCTTTCCCCAGAGCAATCACGTAGAGAGCCACGAAAAACAGCCAAGTTACACGAACTTTGTTCTCGACGAGCAGGACCGAGAGCGAGAGCAAAGCCAATCCAAAGGAATAGATCAGCGAACCACCCAGAGTTGTCTTGAATCTTCCCAGGTGAGAGTCGGAGACGTAAGCGACGAGCAGCGGGGACAAGTCGTGAACGCCTGTCCATATGCTAACCTGGGTTGCCGCCGCCGCATTGGAGAGGCCGAGCTTGGAGACCATGAAGAGGACCAAGTTGTAAGAGACCCCATAGAGCGAGAGGGAGCAGCAGAGCATGAAAACGAGCAAGGCCGGCGGAGTGGAGAGGCGAGACCCCCCTGTTTTGGAAGCCACCGCTGGAGATCCATAGAAATCCAAGCTCCCGTCCTGGACGAGCTTTTCCTCCTGTTCATCCGGGAGTAGTAGAGGATCTCTGAGAGATTTCTCTTCGTCTTCGTCGCCATGGGGAGCCATGGACGGCTGATGGAGCTCCTAGAAACTTCTACTTTCAAGGGTTTGCTGGAAGCCGTGCTCTACATGATTATCAATTCTTGCAAAAATTCTCCTCTAGAGTCGTAGCAACTCAAAGCTCTTGTCACGATATTAAATGAGTAAGTCACACGGGACTTACTATGAGCTGGACTAGTCGAAATCACTTACAGAGGGGGTTTGGGTTTTTATCCTTGGACTGATTATATCACATGGGTATAGGTTTTTTGAGCCAGGCCAAATTAGTTTTTTTGGAATTGAACTTTCACACTTTCCCTATTATACTTTTAAAACCCCTTTTGTTTGCTCCCTTTTCCCCTCTGGGGGATAATTGTTTTGGGTTTTCACTCTATAGTTTGTATTAGTATTTGGATTTGGATTTGGATTTAGATTTGATCTTGGTCTGAATTTTAGTCTTTGAATTCATTTTAGATTTCATCTCAGGCCCATCTCGAGTTCATCTCAAACTCCATTTCAAATTTCATCATGGGTCCATTTCAGACTCCATCTCAAATCCATCTTGAGTCCATTTTAAGTTCATCTTGGGTTCATCTTAGACTCCATTTTGGGTTCTATTTCAGTCTATTTTAGACTTTACCTCAGATCCATTTCAGACTCCACCTCAAACTCCATCTCGAGAGTATTTCGGCTTCATCTTCGACTCTTTTTTAAACTCTTTAGTCTCCATTTCAGACTCCTTCTTGGAGTTTTTTTTAGAGTCATTCTTGACACTTCCATGTGTCACAACACTTGCCATGTATTAGTCTTTCTTATGTTCCTCTTTAAAAACTCATTCACTGATTGCTTCATGATTATTCCTTGAGCACTTCGTTTGAAGATCCATTCTCGCGCTCAACTTTCCAAGTTAGAGTGTTTGGTCCAAACATGTGGCCATGGCTGCCTCCCTACAAGCTCTAGGGAGGAGTCATTCTTCTCACTGTCACAAGAGTTTTATGTTTGTTGGACTTCCACTTCAACTACTATTATGGGGCACTTTTATGGCTCCACTTTGGGGCTTAGATATTTATATCTCACAATAATGTTTACAAGTTTGAATAAATTCTAGATTGTGATGAAGAATTTGATTATTATGGAAATTATTTTAGAGATGAATTGGAGATTTTACATCAATCTTTTAATTTGCCATCTTATCCTTTCTCTTTACATTTTACTTTTTCTTAGCCTTTAATTATTTCTCAACTTAAGCTATCTTCTCATGTTCCTAGTGTTCCTTTCTCATCTAGAATATTTCCTTCTCCTGGCACATTAATCATTTCTAACTCTTATAATGTTCATTTTCAATCTGGTATTAAGTTGAGTGTTTTCTATCCTTCTTATACTAATTTGAATATTGAGCATATATGTGAAGCTCAGAATCTTACTTTTAATTTATTGTGGAGTCTTTGATCAATTATAGTGTTGAGTATTCCCTTGTTCCAAAAGTTAAGTCACTTTAGTTACAATTTCGAGTTGAGTGTATATCCCCAGTTATGAGTGTTAATGAGAGCCTTTATTTTATTATTTGCTACTAAGGAGTTTATGTCAAGACCCCCAACAAGATCAAGACTGGAAAATGCAAAAGACAAAGAGAAAAGCTAATGGAAACAAAGAAGAGGCCTAGACTAGTGTTGATTTAAATTGTGAAGAAATGGAACAAGGCTAACCTATATATACTATAAGTTGATGAAGCTCCACCACTCTTGGATTGAGAACGGCATAAATATAGCTGAGGTCGAGGAAGCGCCACATTATCATAAGGAATGTGGCTCAAGACTCAGGAATCATACAGGAAATCAGAGAGTCAGGAATAGGGAAGTGTCTCAAGAATCAAGAATGTGGTCTGCAGGTTAGGAATCCAGCAAGATTCAGGAATGTGGTATGAATTGAGGGATTCTTGACAGTACCCCCTCCTCAAGAATGAGTGGAACAAGGACGTGAATGAGAACGAAGAGGAGGATAAGATGGACGGCGAGGGACGGGAGATGGAGAAAAAGAATGAGGACTGGGATGAGAAGGATAGCAACGGTGGAAGTCCTGAACAAGGTCAGGAGAATGAATCAGGTTGTCCGCAGGTTCCCAAGTGCATTCTTCAGGTCCATAACCCTTCCAGTCGACCAGATAGTAGAGTTTAGACCGTGAGATCTTGGAATCAAGGATGTCCTGAACCTTGTACTCAGACCCATCCTCGAACTGCACTGGTGGAGGCGGAGGAATGACCCGATTTGGAATAGGACTGGGAATATAAGGCTCAAGGAGAGAGGAGTGGAAAACGCGGTGAATTTGATAGGAGGGAAGTGCAAGGTGATAAGTAACAGGATTAATGATAGCAGTGATAGGGAAAGGACCGAGGAGTTTGAAATCGAATTTGGGACATGGCCTGGTGGTGGAGATATTTTGCCTGAGGAGCCAGACTTTATCCCCAATATTGTAAGGGGGACAATCCTGACGATGGACATTGGCAAATGTTTTGTGAGATTCCTGAGCACGATGGAGGTGGAAGGAGATGGAGTTGTGGATTTCCTGGAGGTTGGAGACAAATGTCTCAGAGCGGGGATTTGAATAAGAGGATTCAGATGGAGAAGGAAGTGAGAGATTGAATTGGGGATTTTGGCCAGAGTTCGCAAAGAAGGGGGAAACTCAAAGAGAGGAGTGAACAGAGTTGTTATAGGAGAACTCAACAAGGGGAAGGATATTGAACCAGTCATCCTGATGATAGTTGATGAAGCACCTTAGGAATTGTTCTAATGTATGTCCTCGCTCGAAAACTCCTTGGTACACGGCAGGAAGTGTGCCATCTTTGTGAAGTGATCCACCACGACTAAAATGCTGTTGAAGCTTCCAGAACTCAGAAGATCACTCAAGAAATCCATGGAGATGGATTTCCAAGGACCTGAAGGGACCGGGAGGGAACGAAGCAATCCTGAAGGAAGGTGGCGAGGTACTTTATTTCGGGTGCAAGTGTCACAGGAGGTAACATGGATCTTTAAAACCTTAGGGGATAAATGGGGATAAAAATAGCCAAAATTTTTTATGTAGTCGTCCATGTGAGGCCACCAAAAGTCCCGTGCAACCAGCTCAAAGGTTTTTGCGATGCTGAAGTGACCAGTAGTCGGGCTATCGTGGTACGCCATCAGGACCAACCTTTGAGCATCACCTTCAGGAATGTAAAGCTGCTCCCCACGGTACAACAAGCCATCTAAGAACTCGAACTCGTCAAATTGCCAGCAGTCGGGAGTCACTGGGTGTCCAACTTGAAGATGGGGGAAAATGTCACTGGCGAGGTCATCGGATTGAAGATTGTTTCTGATTGCATCCATCAAGGAGGAGTCCTGAGGGGCCAGGGAAATTGCCATAACTTGAAGCCGGTTAGGACCAAGGATAACTTGATCCTATTGATCGAAGGTAGGATTATCAGGCCTGAGACTAAGATAGGAGCGCCTTGAAAGAGCATTAGGAAGGCCTTGAAGCTTTCTAGGTCTGTACTTGATAACAAAGTCAAACTGACTCAGGAATTGTGCCCACCTTGCTTGACGACGGCTCAAAACTCTGGAAGTGGCAAAGTACTCGAGATTTTTGTGATCTGTCTAGACTGTTGTTTGATGGCTCACTCCCTCCAAGAAACGGCGCCACTCTCCAAAGGAATCCATGATGGCAAGGAGCTCCTTGTCGTGGATTTCGTAAATGATCTCTGTAGACCGGAATTTCCGAGAATGGAAAGCGATCAGATGAAGTTCGTGATCCGCTCCGAGTTGAGACAGCATAGCACCAATGGTGAAGTCGGAGGCGTCAGCCTCGATGAAGAAAGGTTGTGAGGGATCAACGTGGATCAAGATGGGAGCAGAACTGAAGGCCGCCTTGAGTGTGTCGAAGGCTTGCTGGGCAGCAGCAGACCAAGAGAAGGGAACATCCTTGCCAGTGAGATGCGTGAGAGGAAGGACAATATCAGAGTAGTGAATAATGAATTTGCGGTAGAAGTTGGCGAAGCCAAGGAAAACCTAAACATCTGACATTGATTGTGGAGGCTCCCATTCGAGAATAGTCTTGACTTTGGCAGGATCCATCGTGATACCCTCAGGAGTGACAATGTACCCAAGGAACTCCATAGACTGCTGATCGAAGGAACATTTCTCAAGCTTCGCGTATAGGCCATGTTCCCGCAGCTTCGCTAGCACCTTGTATACATGTTCATCGTGCTCCTCTTGAGTTTTTGAGTAGATGAGGATGTCATCAAGGTAGACAATCACCATCTGATCAAGAAACTCCCGAAAGACGTCATTCGCCATGTGTTGGAAAACTGTTGGAGCATTTGTCAAGCCAAATAGCATGATAGTGTATTCGAAGTGGCCATAGTGGGTTCAGAACGCAGTCTTCCATTCATCACCAAGCCGGATCCAGATCAGGTTGTATACTCCACGGAGGTCAATCTTGGTGAAGAAGCGGGCACCGCTGAGGCGTTCCAATAGGTCCAAGATCAGGGGCAGCGGATAACGGTTCCGAACTGTCACCTTGTTCAAACCTCGGTAGTCGATGACTAGCCGCAAACTCCCATCCTTCTTCTTGACAAAGAAGACAGGCGCTTCAGCCGGGGACTGCGAATGCTAAATGTACCCGGAGGCAAGGTTCTCATCCACGTACTCTTTGAGGGCCTTAAGCTCGGACGGGGATAACCCGTAGATAGGCCCCCACGGAGGTGACGCTCCTTCCTGTAAATCAATGGGACAGTCATAAGGTCAATGAATAGGCAGTACACTAGCTTTTTTCTTGTCAAACACATCCCCAAAATCATGATACTTCTTAGGAAGACTGACAGGAGAAACATGCAAAGCAAAAAGGAAAATAAATTCTTCATAAAGGAGTTCTTTCATAGTGATTGTGGAGATAGGAGGAGGCGTACGACTAAATGGAATGATGAGACGAGGATACTGTCCAATGTAAGATGGAGGAGAGGAAAAAAAAGAGGGTGAAAACTTCATAGAGTCAAGAAC